TGGCTTAGAACGGCAAACCCTTGCGAAATGGTTGAACTTTTGGCACTTGGTACATCGCTTTCCTTTTGCGCAACATTTGTTGTTGTTGTGTTTCTACCCACATTTGTAACACTCTTTATTTGCTACTTTTTTTTTTGAGTGTGTCCATTTTTCTGCTTTTGAGAGCGTTCAGTTTTTTGTTTTCGCTGGTTTACACTATTAATGCTAGCATATTCGTAAGGTTAGGCCCGAACCTTCCTGAATGAGTTTTTCTCTGGTTTTGGTAGAATGGCATCCAATGACTACTCTGTCTCGAACCATTTCATCTCGGTCACCATAACCACAATCCTTAACAAGTAACTTCAAATCAGTGAGAAATTGCTCAAATGACTTACCCTCTTGTTGAACTTTCTGGTGGAACTTGTACCTCGCAGACACTCTATTCGATTTGGGTTTCACGCATGCCTCATATTTTGTGTAATACGTGTTGAGTTTCTTCGCCTCTTGTATATCTCTGTATATAACTATATCTCACGACCTTTGTCTCCAACCCATAACATTAGGTAGTTGCACTTTACCTCTTCACTTTTTTGCTTGAGAGGACCACCAAAAGTGAACTCACAGTGTTGTTTTAAGGCTTTCCACGTACTTCGTAAATCACCGCTTGACCAATCCATCTTTGGAGTCCTGCCAGCTGAAGAATTTCCGTCCATTTTCTTCGCTATCTCTTTAAGGCTGTATTCTGACTCGTTATCAAAGCTCGGGGGCTTTCTTTTGGGCGTTAATTTTATTTATTCTTACACCATGTTATGTATATGACAGACCTACGCCATGTTGTCACAACCTCGTGTTTTTTATTTCCCATCATGCCTTTGAACTTTACAAGCTGATAAGGTGATAAACGATGACGCATACATGACATCCCCTAAAGGTTCATTTTTATGTAAATCAAACTCATTTTCGTATGAAAGGTTTTGTACGAGGGCTCCTTTTGAAACAGAGGCACAAGGTGACTCGAAAATGACCTATTGATATCACAAACAACAAACCCTTATATCAATGCATTTTACAATGGTCCTCAAGTTTCTAATTACCATTATGCTCGGAGCGAGTGAAATCAAAAACTGAGCCCGAACAAGACAATCCTGGTTTGATTCCAATCCAAGTTCGAAAACGGCTTTGAAAACGCGTAGACAGAATGATTGCGGAATCACCCAATCTTCCTGACTCTGGCTACTGACCAAAATGACTGTGGCCTCTGGGAACGAGATTGCATTGTTTATATCATTT